CGCGGACCTGCGGGACCGGCGACCACCGCTCAAAAAATCTCCAGGTTATCAAAAATATGAGAATAAAAAACATGGCGCGGACCGTTGTGAGGGTACGTGTGAAAATGAGGGGGCGTGTGAAAATGAGGATAGGCGTGAAAAAGCTATGTAAGAAAATGAGGGTGCGTGTGAAAATGCTATGTAGGAAAATGAGGGTAAGTGTGAAAATGCTATGTAGGAAAATGAGGGTAAGTGCTAAAATGCTATATGGGAAAATGAGGGTAGGAGTGAAAATGCTATGTACGGAAATGAGGGTATTGTGAAAATGCTATGTAGGGAAATGAGGGTACGTGTGTAAATGAGGAAATGCATGAAAATGGGATGCATGCAAATGAGATAGTGCATGAAAATGGGATACAGAGATATAGAGGAATGGGCGAAAGTAAGGAAATGTGCAAAAAAAAGAAACAAAAACAGGGTATTGTGTGACCTTTGTGCACAGTCCAGCCATAGTTGAATTTCGGGCCAATCTTGCGACGCCCTCTAGCCTGATGGTGACATTAGGAGCCGGCAGAGTGAGCATGAAACTTCATAATTAAAATGCGCAACCGACGGTAAATCCGATCATTATTAAAAAAAGTGACCTTTTTTTTCATAATATGATTTACGACGAGACTGGAACGAGCTTTTTCAATTAAGTTAAATCAGTTTGTGATGTCTAAGAAAATATGACAGTACTACACGGGTGATAAGCACGATAGTTTCAGTTATGGCTACGATTTTCGTTTCATTTATTGAATTAAAACATGAGCACCATGCTGGTGTGCTTGTCGTGTATTGCTACGCCTCAGGCAAAACAATACAGGACAAGGCTGANGTGTGGCGTATGCAGATGTGTGACGTATGCAGATGTGTGGCGTATGCAGATGTGTGGCGTATACAGATGTGTGGCGTAGGCAGATGTGTGACGTATGCAGATGTGTGACGTAGGCAGATGTGTGGCGTATGCAGATGTGTGGCGTAGGCAGATGTGTGACGTATGCAGATGTGTGGCGTATGCAGATGTATGGCGTAAGCAGATGTGTGGCGTATGCGGATGGGTGGCGTATGTAGATGTGTGGCGTAGGCAAATGTATGGCGTAGGCAGGTGTGTGGCGTATGCAGATGTGTGGCGTATGCAGATGCGTGGCGTATGCAGATGTGTGGCGTAGGCAGACGTGTGGCGTAGGCTGGCGAGTGGCTAAGGCATGAGGCTTAGTTGGCTGAAGGCATCAGGCTGATAGGCTGATGAATGACCTGCCGGGTCGTTTGTTACGCCAGTCCCCGGATAATCTTTATATATTATTCACCACGTCGACTATTATTCTACTTCTGCACCATTATTATTATTCTTCTCTTTGTGAGGCTTTCTTTGTCGTACTGAAATCGCTACTCAACATTATGTTTAATAAAGCTTACGCATCACTTACTCTTTGAAGATTATGACGTCAAAAATCTGCTTTCTATTTCGTTTCTAAAAGGCCATTGAAAAAAACAAATTGTTTTAAAAATAAATGTTTTCATTTTCAAAATCCTGATTTTTGAAGCCAACTTGTACTTGTTTCCGAAACGCTGCCTTGCAAAATCAAGTTTAAATTCTGCGTCTCTCCGGGAAGCAATCCATTGTCAGGATCTTGTTGTCGCTGCTCACGGCGCGGTGCTCGCCGAGAGTTAAAAACTGTCGCTAAAGTTCGAGGCGAGCATGGCAGGCCATCCCAGTCTTTTGGTGCTCCCAACAAATGCGCCACACAATTTCCGAGGACAAGCAAGTCTCGACAAAGTTGGACGTTGAAGCATGAGAAACTCTGTGGCGCTTGAAAACTACCGCGTAGAACAAAATGTAGAACGCCAAGAACTAATGAATAAAATCATGATGCAAATGCTAGGCATCTTGCAATAATCAAATATGATGAACGAAAATCCATAGAATTAAGAGGATATGGCATAGAACAAGCCATTACATACAATTAAGCCATTACAATAGATCGCATTACATGACAAGTCCCTTTCACTGTCCCCGCAGTCATGACGAGTCAGGAAAGCTGCAGTCTCGATGTATGTTTACCATTAATTTTAAGGCCTCGCTTTCCCATCCATCAAATTCAAGCGATGGGAAAATTAGCACTGGCTGGCCGGGCCACCTGAGCAGCACTAAGATAGTTCGTTGACCAGCACTAAAATAGTGCCTTGACCAGTCCTATTATAGCTCGTTGACCAGCACTAAAATAGTGTCTTGACCAGTCCTATGATAGCTCGTTGACCAGCACTAAAATAGTGCCTTGACCAGTCCTATGATATCGTGCGAGAAGTATGTTTTCACGGTTCGCAAATGGGCTAACTCACGGCTCCGAAAATCAAGTCGCGGCTCACCAAGTAGATATATTCCATGCCTGGTACGGTACGTCGGGACAAGCCAGATGCGGACGTACGCCGGCCGTGTGCGCCATAACGTTATTTTAGCTCTTTGTACGCTGCGTTGTACCCCAGTAGAAGGGCTTGGAGCCTTGTTTACGCCGGATTAATCCGCGGAAAACGGCACCATCCTGGGTATGGGCGTCGCCAAAGATCTTGAAATATTCATCCACATCCACTCTCTGCACAGTGGCAATAATATTGCTCAAATTTTGTTGCCTGACACTGACAGTTATAGAGTTAGAGACTCGTCAGACATGTTAGCTTTTAGTTACTCTTGAGTCTTGTCTTACAGTCTTAGCCCTTACACTTAGTATGGCTTACTCCTTAGGAATTAGGTAGTTAGGACTTAGGAGTTAGGTGAAGCAACAATATTATAATATTGAGGCTAAATTGAGCCTTGTTTCCCAATGAGCACAACATAATGTATATTACTTACCGCCATAATGAGTTCAAAAGGGTGTTTATACACCCTAACAGGTGATTGATAGCTTTGAACCATGGTTATAAGTCAAATCATAAGAATATAGAAAGCTGAATGCAAAGATTGCCACTTCACTTCCTGCTCACGGAGACGGACGAGTGAGGTAAAGTCGGTCAAGCGGATTGAACAAGGCAAGAGACAGAAAAATATGTTTCAATCACTTATCATCACATATGAACAATTAACAACCAGAAAAAATGTATCAACTTCCACTTAATATAGAATTTAGAAGGAAANGAGTCTGCTATTAAATAAATAAATAGGCCATAAATTTCGAGATCACCACGTGCATTCTCTTAAACTCTATTCATGTTAATTTTTATTTTGTAGCATGAACTGTTATAAGTTCTTTTCAGTATACAGTATAAGAAGAGGTAGAATGCCGTTGTTATGTTATTTGCACAACTGCACCATTTACATGTAATTTTCAGTCTGCACCATTTCTATGTAATTTACACAACAGCGACATTTCTATGGAATTTATAAAACTGCACCATTTCTACGTAATTGGCATCACTGATACATTTCCATGTGATTTGCACAACTGATTCATTTACATCAAACTTGCACAATGGTAGTATTTCTTCATTACGAGCAATGCCGAGTTTATCGTTGTTTATTTTTTTCAAGTTACAGAGGGTAAGTCGTACACACGAAGACAGTAAGTTGTAACAAAAAGTAGTACAGCGTCACACAGAAGGCAACGTCAATGTTACATACTCACAGAGCGTGTTTAGTTTATTTGAAGGCATCTCCAATGTAATTCAATACTCGCTTTTTAACGTAATTGAAGTTGTTAGTGAACAACCTGAATCCTAAATATCGAGAAGTCAACCAAAATAAAATAAAGCATTTTCTTACTTTTGTTTTGCACCATGAAGTCTAATAAAACTAGTTCGAAAATTTGTCACTGAATTTGTACATTTTTATACTGTGATTGTACAAATATATATTGCAATATGATAGACGCCAGTTGAGATACTGAGATGAAAGTGTTTACCTACATCTTATCAACAGCTGCACGCGGCCTCCACATGCTCAGTGTGCATCTCGCTGTGTTGTTGATCGATCGCACGTCCACTGAGCTGCTTGAGGCGAAATATCAATCGTTATTGAGGTCAGGCTAAATGTCCTTGACGCCGCCGCTGAGTGTGGATTCCACATTGACTGCCTCTTACAGATAATTGAGAAAAACCATGTAGATTTCAGATATTTCCTGAATTATAAAAAGAAGAATTACTTCTGATAAACATGGGTGATCTTGAACTAATTATTCACCCTGTAAATGATGCATGCGTTGCCTACAGATTAAGAAAAGTACAATGCTGTTCAGTAATACATGCTTCTTTCCAGCGTTTAAATTACTGATTAGTTTTCAAATCCCACACTAGAAAGTTCTGGTATCATACTTAGATAATAAAGTAGATCGTTTCTTTTTGAGGCCAGCGACATTTCTGAGGCGACTGGAATGTAATTGAATTTTGTTATTAAAAATTTTAAATTTGTCAACAATGTTGTTACCTTTACCTTATTCTAGCATAATGCACACGCAAATGCGTTCAATTGAGGCTATTAATGTCCGTTCTAAACATTGATATTATTAGCCTGAGTTCTGTATGTCGTAGCTTTTTTACTTCGATGCGCTGAAAGCAACACTATTTTCAAATATAAAAAGAAAATGCGTAAATGGTTTCGTTCATTCTCTGGTGTATTGGAAATACTAAACTCCATCGTTTTCATGTCTTCACAATCTGCCAGTTTCCAGCTCAGCAGTTTCCCAAGCACTATAAGCGAGCTACACCAATTAAATGGACCATATCTTGTCGGAACTCTGGAACACTCGGCCGCTTGCTACAGCCGTTCTCAGGCCGCTTGTGTTTCCATGAATATTTTGCGGCTCACGCAGCACTTGCAGTGAATTAAACTGAGTAGACTATTGGGGTCCAGAGAGAGTCTGCTCGCTCTGAGCTCATTAGGCCGAGCATTAAGGTAAGTACTTCAGATGAGGTGTGCTATCACTGCCGATCTCCTCGCTGATTGCCCACCATCTTGGCTTGGCCGTATGCGCTGCCAGTTGCGTAATATTCAACAAAGTAGAACGTTTGGCTGGAGATTCGAACACAATCTTCCATATTCTTGCTTATGTGTCATATCCACCAATAACATTGACCGGATTTGGTTTCAATAAATTTGATTGTTGTTTCAGTGTCCACAGCCTCTCATGATACTCATAGAGGATTTTTTCACTTATTAATAATTAATATTATTCCACGAAACGATTGTCGTGACGTATTGCTCATCCAGACTTTGAGAGCACGTTACTTATTGAGAGAGCTATGACTAATTTCGATACTTATCTCATCGACTTAATTTCAATGTAATATTTTGAATAACGCATAACGCCCTCTCTTCTTTTTTATTTTACAGAAGAACCTAATTTTTATTGATGACTAAAATGGAGGAGTATCAGGCAGTTGCCGTACTGAGCAGCTGCATCGCCGTGCCGTATTTAGCTCTCCAGAGAGACCCGAGTGCGCTGGCGGTGTTGGTCAAAATTTTGCCCTGCCTTTTCTTCTTTTTGCACCTCTGCAAAAAACATTCACTAGAGAAACGAGGGAAAATCGAGTCAAGTTTTCAGGAAGCTTTGCTCGAGCTTCTCGGTTTGGGATCAAACGCGCCGGGGTCTCAGAAGCAGCAGAGGTCGACACCGTCTAAGCAAGGCGGAGGACATGCGAAGAAGGCGGCGAAGGAGCTGCGGCGGGACAGCCTCAGGACCGGCGTCGCCAGAGGCTTGGTCTTCTCCTTGATTGGAGACGCGTTCCTCGTGAGCTAATTACCTTTTTAATGATGATAATCGAGGCATCAATAGGGGCATTATCTCTAGATTCCTTAGCAGAGGCTTGGCCTTGCTGATTGGAGAAGGTTACCTCGTGAGATTTTTAACTGATTATTGCCGACAATTGGGACATCAATAAGTGGCATGATCTAAAAATGCGTTGCAAGAGGCTTGATCTTCACGTTGATGTGTTCCTCGTGAGCTCATTAACCTTTGGCTTGTAATTATATTTATCCTGAAACAGATTAATTAACTGTAAACACAGGATTATCGAGTAAACACATATACATTAGATTGTAGGAATGCCAATAACTGGCATCAACTAAGAATACATAGAGCCCAAAAATATTGGTTACAGTTGTCTGGTGCATAAAAACATGAAGTTTTTTTCAACAGGAGTATTGAACCTTTCAAAATATATTCTCGTCCACAGAAAAGTAATCCCTCTGATTAAGATAATATTCGATTTGGTTTTATATCATTGTATTTGTTTCATAAAAGAAATTATAAACTCTATCCATCATGACTGACTTGAAACAGATTATTTTCAATGCATATGATAACTTATGGTCCATTCTATGTAGTTTTAAAAAAATGTCCAGGTCTGGATTGACGAAGAGGCGATGTTCCTGATTGGCATGCTGGCGTTTGGCGTGGCTCAGCTTTGGTACATCAAAGGCCTGGGCTTCGTAAACGTGAACTACTTGCGTGGAGTTGGTCTCTACGTCTCACTTCTCGCCGTGACTGCGTTCCTACTACGAGACTCGCCTCTGACATTCCGAATTGCTGTTCCCTTCTACGCACTGCTGCTCATCACCTCGCTCTGGAGGGCCATTGACAGGTTAACACGCGCCGCAGTTTAACATGTCAACCTTCGAGGTATTGACAGGTTAAAAGTTCCTGCGTAGGGTAACAATAGGCTAACATTAGAGCAATTGACAGATTAACTACTGGCTGAATTTAGACCTAGGGAACTTTTTTGTTAAAGATTCAATTGATTCGCATATGTTCACCTATATTCCTCCAGATTGCCTCACTTTCTGGTAGATATGAAATTTTTTTTCTATTTAAGACGAAGTCAACTAGAAATCAAAATTCTACATATTTCTCAGCAGTATTAAGCAAGTCAATTTAAGTGTCAGGAGCAATGACTCAAAAACTCTACGAGGGGGTCCGAAACAGATGAGATAAAAAAATACACAATACATATACGCGCGATGACACGCGCAGAGAGAAGAAAACGCAGGGAGAGGCGCGCGGACACCCCGGCAAAAACCTAAAAATCATACACATACACATATGAAAAAAAAAACACATCCCCAGAAAACACCAAAACATTCAAAAAGAAAAAAAATATACTAGAAAAGACAAAAAAAGATTAAAAAAATATCCGACAGAAAAAAATATGGCAAAAAGACAACAACACCACAAAAAAAAAAAAAAGACAGACAGACATTCGTTAGAATTAGTATATTTGATTATTTTTCTTTATGCACTCTTGAGGACTCCATTCAGTTTCCACATGGTCTCCTATTATCTCTTTACACTCGCAATCTATGCTACAGTTGCAACCTAAGACAAACCCACGTTTTGCTGTTCAGTTTCATCTACTTGCGAGATTCAGACCAAGCAATAAGTTTCGCTCTGAATTCCTCATCCATTCCATCATTCCTCACTCTACGTGCGCTTCCTGTGCTCGCTCAAACGTGGGTCTCACTTATCCACTCCAAGTCCTGCAGCTACCCCAAGCCCTACGTCGTCTCCCCTTTAAATCCTGCTTTATCTCTCTCACTGAGTCCTGGTCCACTACACCCTTCCCATTGGGCTCCAAGTCCTGCTTCAGCCCCTTCCTCCCCACCAAGTCCTGCTTTACCTCCTCTTCCCCCACCAAGCCCTACTTCGCCCCCCTTCCCCCACCAAGTCCTGATTCACTCCCCATCCCCCACCAAGTCCTGCTGTTACTCCCCCTTCCAAGTTTTCTTCGGCGGGTCAAAAACCGAGAATTCTAGGAGCGTGTGAGAAACTTCTTTACGACTTTAATTTATGTTCGTTATTTACGAGCTGCACTCGGGGGGTCGAGTCTGGCCTCATTTGGCCCGATATTAAAAAAATCGCTAAGAAATAGCGGGTGCAGCGGGCATATACAGCGTAGAAAAATACGCGTTTCATTAGCTGTTCTTAGGCAATTTCTTCGCAATGAGCTTCGCGCGCGGTCATCGATGAACGAAAATATTAGTTCTGGTTACGCGGGATCTCGCTAAACTCGTGCGCAATCGAGAATAAAAAAATTTTTATTTAATATTGGAGGTGGACAATTTTGTGTGCTTAATAGTACATGTAAAAGCTCATTGTGGATACTTATCGGGTTGACTGTTTTAAAATACTTAATTTGTGTTATTTTATTGTATGTAATTAAATCGTACCAGGCATCTGACGTTGGAAGAATGTTGGCTAAACGTTTTTTCGACAAAATCATTTCGTAATTAAAGTTGCTACAACGTCACTTTCCATGCTGGGCCATACATTTATTTGTATGGATCTTAAATATCTATCTTCTTAATAGATAGATCATATCACGGCTGTTGATTGTATCTATTTCGCATGCACACAAACGTATTTAGCTGCCAGCTCCGATCACCACGAGACTCAAAAAAAGAACACCAAGAGAATTGATTGGGTCTTCGTCCAAATAACGCTACAATGTTTACCCATTTAGTATTCGTCTTTATCCTGATATGCATAAGTTCATAAGCGCTTTCTGCTGGTGCTGTGGATAAGAAAGTGGGTCAATATTTGGACAATATGACTCAATTAATAAATAATAAATAATTTTAGTTAATTTTGTAAGCAAATCCCCCTGGCAGGTGCGGTGAAGATGACGGCAGGTCGGCGCAGCAACGCCGCAGCTCAGCGCTGGGCGCTGCGGTCTTCGTGGCCTCGGACACCTGCATCGCCGTCACCAAGTTTGCCGTCGCCGTGAACCCCGCCATCGCCAGCGCTGCCATCCACACTACATACTACCTGGCCCAGGCCCTCATCACCTTAGGGGCCGCCTAGCCCCTACCACCTGGCCCAGGCCCTCATCACCTTAGGGGCCGCCTAGCTCCTACCACCTGGCCCAGGCCCTCATCACCTTAGGGGCCGCCTAGCTCCTACCACCTGGCCCAGGCCCTCATCACCTTAGGGGCCGCCTAGCTCCCGCCACCTGGCCCAGGCCCTCATCACCTTAGAGGCCGCCTAGCTCCTACCACCTGGCCCAGGCCCTCATCACCTTAGGGGCCGCCTAGCTCCTACCACCTGGCCCAGGCCCTCATCACCTTAGGGGCCGCCTAGCTCCTACCACCTGGCCCAGGCCCTCATCACCTTAGGGGCCGCCTAGCTCCTACCACCTGGCCCAGGCCCTCATCACNATGTAGGGAAATGAGGGTAAGTGTAAAATGCTATGTAAGGAAACGAGGGTAAGTGTGAAAATGCTATATAAGGAAACGAGGGAAAGTGTGAAAATACTATGAAATGAAACGAGGGTAAATGTGAAAATGCTATGTAGGGAAATGAGGGTAAGTGTGAAAATGCTATATAAGGAAACGAGGGAAAGTGTGAAAATACTATGAAATGAAACGAGGGTAAATGTGAAAATGCTATGTAGGGAAATGAGGGTAAGTGTGAAAATGCTATATAAGGAAACGAGGGAAAGTGTGAAAATACTATGAAAGGAAACGAGGGTAAATGTGAAAATGCTATGTAGGGAAATGAGAGTAAGTGTGAAAATGCTATGTAGAAAAACGAGAGTAAATGTGAAAATGCTACATGGGAATATGAGGGTAAGTGTGAAATCGAGGAAATGCATGAAAATGGGATGCATGAAAATGAGGTAGTGCATGAAAATGGTATACAGAGATATAGACGAATTGGCGAAAGTAAGGAAATGTGCAGAAAAAAACAGGGTATTGTGTGACGCAGTCCAGCCATAGTTGAATGTTGGGTCATACGTTCGACGCCATCTAGCCTGATGGCGCCATTAGGAGCCGACAGAGTGAACATGAAACTTCGAAATTAAAATGCGCAATTGACGTTAAAAACAATCATTATTATTAATGTGGCCTAGTTTTTCATAATATTATTTACGATGTGACCGGCACGAGCTTTTTCACTTAAGTTAAATCAGTTTGTGATGTCTAAGAAAATATGACAGTGCTATACGGGTGATAAGCACGATAGTTTCAGTTATGGCTACGATTCTCGTTTCATTTATTGAATTAAAACATGAGCACCATGCTGGTGTGCTTGTCGTGTATTGCTACGCCTCAGGCAAAACAATACAGGACAAGGCTGAGAAAAAAACAATGCAACTGTCGGTTGAGATTGTTTTTACCGTTGAGATAAAATTAATTTTCACTAACTACAATAATGAGATGTGCATGGGTCAATCTCATATTAGTTCAACCATGCATTCGGACACCCCCGGGCTTTATTATTTGCACTTGATGGTGCTCAGTTGGGTTGAGAAAAAAGAACAACCATATGTTCAATGTGACTAGTTATTTTTTGTGTTCCTACCACAATTTAAGGTTTATAGTCAATGAGAACAATATTTTCTGCATTTTATATCCTCGTTCCTTTCTCTACGAATCTACGGGAAAAGCTTTTCATGTTTAATTAACAATACGCGAAAAATTATCTAACAAACGTAATAAGAAATCGAATCAAACTATATGTACATTATTTTCCTCATTAGGATCAGAATACCTTATAGAGCGTCATGGCATTTAACAATTGTTTCTTACATTGTTCACTGAACAAAAATTATTTGTTTGTCAATCTTGTGCGCATGAAGAACTTGTGGAACTGTGCGGGTGGCGCAGGCTGGAGTGTGGCATCTTCAGGAGTGTAGCAAGGGTTGTTGCTTGTTGTAGCCTGGAATGTGGCGTAGGCTTTAATGTGACGTATGCAGATGTGTGGCGTAGGCTTTAATGTGACGTATGCAGATGTGTGGCGTAGGCTTTAATGTGACGTATGCAGATGTGTGGCGTATGCAGATGTGTGGCGTATGCAGATGTGTGGCGTAGGCAGACGTGTGGCGTAGGCTGGCGAGTGGCTAAGGCATGAGGCTTAGTTGGCTGAAGGCATCAGGCTGATAGGCTGACCAGTCCTATGATAGCTCGTTGACCAGCACTAAAATAGTGCCTTGACCAGTCCTATTATAGCTCGTTGACCAGCACTAAAATAGTGCCTTGACTAGCACTAAGATAGTGCCTTGACCAGTACTAAGATAGCTCGTTGACCAGCACTAAAATAGCGCCCCGAACAGTACCAAGATAGTGCGCCGACCAGCAATAAGTTAGCGTCGGCTTTTATAAGAGCGAAAGCATTAAGTAGCGCTGCTCACTCAGCGCTGGAACGCGTGTCTTATATGCCATCAACAAGTCGTATCTGCGATGAGGCAGCAAATTAAGACGTCGTGACGTGAACGACGTCATTACCTTCATGGAACATTGCAAGAGCGCCATTACTGAGATACCAGCTTAAGGGGCGCTGCCAACCCGTCCCTCTTCTGCCTTTACACACCCATCCCACTTCAAACACTCCTATTACTCTAATTTACTATTGTGCCTATCATTGAGAAACTACAAAATAAAACACTAGTTATGTGAACATATATAACTGTTGAGTACCTGTCGCCAAAAAAATTAATCATTCATATTATAATAAACTTACCGTTTGCAACGCACTGGGTCTGACAACCTAACATTTGAGGCGGAAAGAATGTTTGGCTTTGAAGTTCCGCAACAAGAAGTTCGTATCAATACGATATCGCTGCGTTTGACGAACGTCCCGCTGTTGAATGTTGATGGTTGTTTGACACGAGACGACGATGGCACGTGAATACACCACAAGTTTTCGGTGACAGCGAGAGCTGTTGAGTTGCGAGTACTTAGGGAACGTTTGCAACACGTATGTAGCTACGTACACTTAGCAATGTTTTTCAAACATTTAGCACTAACATTTCGCAATAATGATCTACACTTAGCGAACACTTAGCAAAGGCGCTCTACACACCTTAGGACCATTTATAGCTCAACGCAGTTTGTATATAATATCGAGGCTGTTTTGAAGAAATTGATAGCGGTTACTCATCCCTTAACACTGTTTCCACTTGCGCAGGCTTTTGTATTGTCGCTAGGAGAATTCAAAAGCGTAAAATACCAGCTCGACCTTTTTGCACGTTGTCAATTTAAAAGTTTAGCCACTAAACAAATGTTTATTCAAATATTTATTATATGAGACTCATAGTGTAAATTTCTATCATGTTCAGGCTTTGATTAGCTCGAGGAGGCCGAGTGGTTAAGATCAGACCAGGTACAAAAAGTTAGGGTTCGAAATCCGCAAATGATTGTGAACATTTGTGTCGCCTGTGAAAATTCTCTTCTGTCTAAAGGTCGCTGATGGTTTAATAATCCTCAGTAAACCAACATGACCTCAACAAATATGAAACCAAGATTCTAGTCGAATCTATTTAAATTTGTTGATCAAACAATCATGGATGTAGAGAAAAAGGAAAAATAAATTCCATATACATTTCTTAGGTAATAGCTACTGTCTGACAAAATTAATTTCCATCCATTTTAATTTCATCAATGTCTCAACAGCATTTTTCAAAACGAATAATTATTCATAAAACTTTTGCTTGTGTTTCTGTATTATTTTGCAGCCTTCTTATTCATGTATAGCCTACCTATTTTGTGGCAAAAAGAAAAACACTTCATGTATCAGATGTACATTCTGGGGTGCGTCAGTGGGACAATAACAGCATCTTGATTGCGTAAATTCTTAGAATCCTCCTGAGGGTCGCTGTTGATTGAGTGCGAGGGAGTCGTCCAAGTGTGGCGAGGGACTCGACGCTCCGGATGCCATAAGGGGGAGCAATAAGGGGGCTATGAGTGGGAGCCAATAGAGTGAACCATAAAGAAAAGCCAAAAGAGGGAGACATAGAAGGGAGCCATAACGAGGAGACCATAAGAGGGAGCCATAAGAGGTAGCCAATAATAAGAGCAAATGATGGAAACATAAGAGGGAGGCGATAAGGGGGAGCCAAAGGAAGAAGTCATGGAATGTGGTTATAAGGCAGAGACATGGGATTAATCGTAAGGAAGAGCTCTACAGGGGAGCTTTATGGAAGAACCCTAAGGAGAGCTATAAGGAGGAATCATCTGTAGGAGACATTAAGGGAGCCAAAATAGAGCGCTAGTGCTATTAAATTAAAGGAGCCAAAAGTAGAACCATAAGGGATCCATGAGAAGGCGACAAAAGACGAGCTATAATTAAGGGGTGCCATGAGAAGGCGACAAAAAAGGAGCCATAAGGGGGAGCCAATGGAGAGGCCATAAGGGGAGGCAATCGATACCCGTAAGGTGCTCGTGCAGATCGCCTGCTTCTGCTCATCACTACTCGGTTGATGGCCACAGAAGCTCTAGTGTTCAGAGTGTTGGTGGCTTCAGTAAACCCGCCACAAACTCACGCCACTCTGTAACATGACACCCGTGCACGCCACACTATTGCCCTCGCTATACCCTTCACCACACTGTATAAACACGTCACCCATGCTCACTGCACAATACACCCACGCCACACTGCTACACGACACCCGTGCACACCACACAGTTGCGTGACATCAACGTCACATTACAACGAAATCCTATAATGCCATACTGTAACGACACGGTATTCACGGCATGCTGAGTAACGCGTTTACACGTTATCGCTCATTTGATTATTATCATATGAATTAAATTTCCTGTTTGAATTTTAGTGTAAATCGTGAAATTCATGTTGCAAACTTATCTCTTTCATATCTAAATCTGTTCGTACCGCCTGTATCAACAGCATTATATCAGCAAACTACACCTAAGCCAAACAGTATCCGTTCGTCTGAGTTCCTTTACCTTTACCATCTCTTCCTGAGCGACCGTATATAGTGTCGTTTTCTCCCTCTCGCTCGCCCATTAAACAAAAGGAGCTAGAATGAAACAGAGCGATGGTGCCTGTGCCTCGCTTCATTGATCTTAACGAGAACTCCGTCTTTGATGTCGACCGCCCACCGCTCTAAAGGAACTGGCAACTTTCAGGCGCCATTGTCTATGTCTGTCCCACTCACAACTTTGATAGGCTCAACGAAAGTTACTTCAATTCAAACGCTCTCAATTGTCAGTGTTCTTCTTTGAAATTGAAAGCTTCTTTAATTTATGAGACAAGATACGCTGTGGAATGAATATTAGGAACCGAAGGCCAGGAGGGAGTCCATGCCCGGCACTTGTAGTAGCGTCTAACCTTCCAATTTAGAGCGCAATTTGCCAAGGGTGCGTCTCAAATTTAGAAAGGAACAAAACTGATTACTTATTGAGAATG